ATAAGATGATCATAAATAATAAATAAATATACACATAATGTATAAGTTACAATATCAGTTCTTTAAAATTCAATGTTTTGAATTATAATATTTGTTTAAGATATCGAATTTTATGCTTTACATTTTATAATGTACTCAATAATTGTATGTTTCCTGCGATTAATATGCTACATCCAAAATAATATAAAATTAAAAATTTATATTAAACAATTCCTTTTTGTAGAAAGGTACTGTTAATGGAAATCATATCTAAAATTTATTTGATATATACAAAAATATTTCCAATTATCAAAGAGATAGTAATGTGTAAATTCGTTATTTTTACTTGCTTTATGTATCGAAAATATATGGACTGTACAAATGATTTTGATTTATAAATTCTAAGAATACAAATTTCTACGATCGAAAAGCAAAACGAATTCCTTTCATATTATTCTAAATATTCGCATTTTATAATTATTTCATAAATATTTTCAGTCTAAATGGATATATCATTAATCGGTATCGACGTGAAATTCAAAATTTAGTTCACTTAAATAGTGTAAGGTGGCGTTACGATCGGCGAACGCCATCTTGTGCACCACATGACCTCGTTGCCGTGTCCCGTGACCAGCTCACGTGAATTTTGACAAATTCAAACGTTTTTGGTAGAAAAAAAATGGATATATTGGAGCAGCACCTCGAACAGCAGGATGTCAGGTAGTGTTTATGTTAAATATCGACTGGCTGATAATGCGAACACCTATCCCTCCTGTTTCGGTCGAGGTCTCCTCAAGGTCATCACGTAGTGCACAGTGCGCACTTACAAGACTTAGGACAACGGTCGTGGAAGTAATAGGCATAGACGTAATCCTATAGACACGTTGCATATCCATTCTTCAACGTAGACTCTACGCTTCTTTTACAGCACTATTAACGCGAAGGAGGAAGGCGGCACAGGAATTGTTATCGAGGAGGCGGAGATCGTCGACTGCGAAGGTAAATATAGCTTGAATTAATAGCGAGCACACTTCGCACTGATTGCAAAAGCATACAATAATTTCCGACTATACTACTCCTAGAGAAGTACAGAATAATACACATAAAATCAGTCTTACACATAATATACTATTTTAAATCACATTTCATAATTTCCATGTCTTGCATGGAAAATTTTCTGTCAAATTTCGATAAGAAAAATTATTTGATAAACTTATAACTTATTATACTTAAAACTGTTCAACATTAAAATATCATTTCTTTTTATTATACAGAATTTAATACACATGTATAGTATATTAAATACCAAAATAAAGTATAAAAAGGTATTTCATATTTAAAACTGATTTCAATATATCAAATCGGTATAAAGATAACTTAAATCTAATTCCACGTAGTTATTTTATTTGTATGATTATAACCACATTCATAATACCAAGAATAAATCATTACAGGAGAAACTGTCGGAGAAGATGGAATGCGCTACCAAGAAGCTTTGGCATATAGAGTGGTACAGCTAAATAGTACTGCTGCTGGCAATGAAATAGATTTGCCAGTCACTCAACCTGGAAATAATACTGTACAGGTCCTAACATCACCACTGAACGGCCAGTTTTATGTTATTGGGAATGCCAATGATGTATTCACCACTGCTCAGACCTCTAGATCATTGGTTCCTAGAACAACTACTTTACAAATAGAAACACCAAGAAACTGTACAACTGGAATAAAGAAAGTATGGATGTTGTACTCCTCAGTTTTTTAAAAATAGGCTTTAAAATTTAAGTATTATAATTTACATATATTTTTTTCCATATGTTACAGAGAGACGATAGAAGGAGAGCAACCCACAACGAAGTGGAACGTCGGCGAAGAGATAAAATAAATAATTGGATCGCAAAATTAGGAAAAATTATACCAGAATGCAATGCTACTGCAAATGCAAATGGAACTGGTAGCAGTGGTGAAGGCAAAGCGAACTATGAAACTCAGGTAATGAATGAAATATTATTAAAATTTCACAAATACCACAATGGACACTAATAGAGATATTTTCTATTAAATCTTTTATGTAGAGCAAAGGTGGAATTCTAGCTAAAGCTTGTGAATACATAGGAGAGTTACGAGCAGCTAATCAAGGATTAGGCCAGTGTCTCCGTGACAATGAAAAATTGCGACAAGAAATTACCGCCTTGAAACAACTCGTAACACAACTGAAAAGGGAGAACCTTCAACTCAGATCTCAGATATCATCCACCACAGGAACTAGCGTCGACGTTGTTCATTTGAGTCCTTAAAAAATTATTAGGATATAATGCAGTGCTTCTTTTTGTAAATATTAGGGTACATAAGCTGGTTTGATGGCCAGACGAAGTATTTACTCTTATGATTTCTTTTTTCACGAGAGCCATAACAAATTTCGTCATATTGGATTTATATTCTTCAAAATGTATAAAAATGGTCCTAATAATGGTGTAGTCGTAACTGCATATATAATGTATCAAAATGTACATACCTTTTTATTCTTATGAATTTGACAAAATCAATCGAGTATAATTTACAAGAAGCATAATGATGGAATTAAATGTTGGACATTTCGAATTGATGTATCTTGAGTGCAATTGCTTATTATAAGATAACGACAGTAATATTGGGAGTTACGACTATTGTTTGTAGGAACTATTTAAAACAATCTTGTTTCTGTATGTGTGTGAACATACATATAATACATCAGATTGAATTGCCTCGTGTACGTAAACGAGCCAAGGCTGTGAATGTAAGCATTGAGTTGAAGTGTTTGGTTTATGCGATTTTAGACTACACAGAGCTAATTTTTAAAAACAAAATGAACAAACAGATATAAGTTTTATTGGAACATTAACGATAAATTTACAATACAGATCGACTGAAAAATTATGAAAAACATTAAATATTTTTTATTTTTAATACTATTTTCACGAGTTTAGAGTAGGCATTTCAAGAAATGAATTAGGGACTGAGAATGTAACATAGATTAATCGTACACCTATGGATGTGTATGTATAGTTCAATATGTATATTTACACGTACGTGTACATATGCATAGATGTATGCATATAGCAATAAACATATTTTTTTCAATCTGAAATTCTGCATGCCGCAAAATAATGGCATTGGAATAATTGACAAGTAAACACAGGTTTGTAATATATCGTTGGTGTATATATCGCGAAGTTATTGTTATATAATAATATTATTATTAAAATGAAATTTAACGAAGTTCGTTGTTATCATTTCTACCTCATATTTATGATCTTGAAGGAAAACTGTCTTTTTTTTCGTTGTAATTTTTAATACATAGTCTTTATTTGTTTTTACATATGTTACAATGGAAATGTCGAAGTTACTGGAACACTGTTTGCGATGCATCTTTCTTTTCATATTTTCTTTTCTTTAACGACAAAAGATCCTGCACCTTCACAGTTTAACATTTTGACACATTTCTTAAACTTTCAGACCATGATTGCAACGTTTAAACGTTTAAAATAACATCTACTTTTTATGTAACGTCTGTATTCTTCGCTGAATATGTTTACATAATACGCTATTTATAATACAATATTTAATACTCTTTAATTGAAATTACATTCTCTGTAAAAAGCTGCCATCATCCTATGCAACAACAAAAATATTTAAGCACATCGTTAACGTTTTATATACTTTCGCGTACGCATGAATGGATAGCTTCTTACCGTCTCGTTTAGTCTCATTTTACATACATACAAAAGTTTCTCGGCTCTTCACGCTTTTCACAAGTTAGTCCTAATTAGCGTCAAATAAAATTTTACCGAAAGTTTTACTTTTCCTCTCCAACTTATACTTTTCTCACATTTTGATACGAATTACTAGACTGCGATGTTTATGCATTTATATTATAATAATATTAATATAATTTAATACTTTTATTTTTATCCAACAAGATTGTTATAAGAAGAAAATTATTTCTTTACCATTTTCAGTTTTGTAAATTAATCGAAAAATATGTGAATTTGCATAAGTATTCGCAGTCTACTAAGTAATCGAAATTTCCATTTCACTGTTCAGAAATAATTCATTACAACACTTAATTCAATTTTCATGAGCTGTAATCACATTTAAGGACGTCCTACATATTATTGCAACAACTATCACGTATGATTTCACGTTAAATGTTAGTTAGTACACATATGGTTATAGTAGATTTTATATTTGTAATTTTTTTATATACAACTTTTTTCTGTCGTAAATATTGAAACTATCATAACAACTTAGTGTGCGATACGTGAATTATGAATGCTTGTTTTTTTTATATATTTTTTGTCTCCAGCAGATCCAGGACATCCTTAAATGACCAGCACAAGATTCCTGAACGTTCACGTGGAGAAATTATGTTTGTATGCTTGCATCTGATAATTAATCTTCTAGATTTCTAAACGCTTGTTGGATATCTTCATGTAACTGATCAAAGTCAGCTCTAATCTTTGCTTCGCCATCTTTAACAGGATCCTGAAAAATAAAAAGACATATATAACATTTAATTACTTGAATTTATATTTTCAATTCGTTTTTATATTTTTAAAATTATATTTACCTTGAATTTCATGGAAGTCAGCTGATACAGTATGTTTCCCATGCTATCCCTAATAACATTCCATGTTATTTTATTGTCTGATTGCGCTGTAGATTCTACTGCATGCCTCGCCATGTCGTAGAATGCAATCATGTTTCGCAACATTCCCACAGTTTTATAAAATGGGCAGAAACGATCGTACGGCGAGTAACTGCAAGAAAGTATTTATTCGTCATCAACATTAGTAATTATTTTTAAAGGTTTGAGTGATTAAGAAACAAGTGTAATAATACCTGTTTTGTTGCAGAAAATCGTCTTTCAGAAGTTTTGCAACCTCAAGTGTAATTTTGTCTGTCTCCGCGAGAGATGCTTTACCAACTAACTGTACAATCTCAGACAAATCCTCTTCCTCTTGCAAAATCTCCTTCACCTTTCTTCGAAGTGGAACGAACTCTGGGAAGTTCTTGTCATAGAAATCATCTAAAGCTCTTAAGTACTTACTGTACGATATGAGCCAGTTAATAGATGGGAAGTGTTTGCGCTGAGCAAGTTTTTTATCAAGACCCCAGAACACCTAAAGAAATGAATAAATTAAGTAGTTCTAAACGCACGCAATTATTAAAAATATATAGTGTTTAAAATCGACGTATATTAGCGTTGTGCATTTAAAAAATAATAATATATAGAAACATTATATCAATACCTGTACAATACCAAGAGTTGCGCTAGTAACCGGGTCAGAGAAGTCACCACCGGGTGGTGATACAGCACCTACTATACTGACTGAACCTTCACGATCAGGATTGCCTAAGCATTTCACTCTAAAAAGAATATGCTTAACATTAATAACACGAGTAAATTACAAAGCTGCCTCTTTGAAAATTATGTTTACCTTCCTGCTCGTTCATAGAAACTAGCTAGACGTGCTCCGAGGTAAGCCGGATAACCGGAATCTGCGGGCATTTCAGCTAATCGACCCGAAATTTCACGAAGTGCTTCAGCCCAACGAGATGTTGAATCCGCCATCATTGAAACGTTGTAACCCATATCTCTGAAGTACTCTGATAGAGTGATACCTAAAAAATGAAAAAAATGTTATGTAACATCTTCATGCAAAATGTGTTCAGAAAAACATTTTATGGCAGGTAATACTGCATTTTTTTCATTTTTCTATTAGTGACTGTGCACATACCGGTGTAAATAGATGCTTCACGAGCAGCTACAGGCATGTTGGAGGTATTAGCGACCAAAGCAGTACGCTTCATGATGGACTCGGTGACACCATCGATTTCTACAGTTAGTTCAGGGAAGTCACGAAGTACCTCAGACATTTCGTTACCACGTTCTCCGCAACCAACGTAAATGATAACATCGGAATTGGAATACTTGGACAAAGCTTGCGAGATTACAGTTTTACCGCAACCAAATGCACCTGGAATTGCCGTGGTTCCACCTTGGACACATCTACGATTGCAAGAGATATTTTCGGTGAATCCGCTAATTGTGAAATATATATAAAAGTGACAAGCTAAATTCTTACGGAAAGAGAGAGTCCAAGACTCTTTGGCCAGTAAGTAAAGGATGATTAGCCGGCAATTTTTCAGTGACGGGACGAGGTTGACGTACCGGCCAAACCTGCATGCAAACATGTTACCACTATACATTAGCATATTTGTATAAGAGCTATTATGAGTATAATAAATTAAATTTATTTGAATGATCTCCATATTCATGGTTTAATAGGAATAAGTACCTGAAGCATACTGTATTTTTGCGTTTCTCCATCAAATTCTGCTTCCAACACAATATCCTAAAAAGACATCGATTCAGCTGTACTATGTAGAACTACGTATAATGTACATTGTTAGATAATATTACAGAAAAATATAGCTTACGTTAACTGTGTAGTTTCCAGCAGGAGCAATGTATGTCACTGTTCCCTTGCTTTTTGGTGGTAAAATCATTCTATGCTTTACTAGCGTATTCTCATAAACCACACCAAATAGATCTCCTCCTGTGATATGGCTCCCATTCTTTATATTTAATGGGTTGAATTCCCAAGTTGCAGTTCTTGACAGGCATGGCACATTGACACCCTTTGGGATGTATATAGAGTTGCTAAGTTCATTGATATCCTTCAGCGGACGTTGAATACCATCAAAAATGCTGCCAAGAATACCAGGACCTAATTCTACCGACAATGGTTTGCCCGTACGGAGCACAGGATCGCCAACTGTCACGCCACTAGTTTCTTCGTATACCTAGCAAAACATCAGCGTATAATATAGTAAAACTAGGTAACTAAATATAGTTTTATTTTATCCATATTTACGAGGAATATACAATACCTGAATAGTGGCCATATCGCCTTCCAAACGAATAATTTCCCCCACCAATTCATAATAACCCACTCTGACCAGTTCGTACATAGCCGATCCTGACATTTTCTCGGCAGTAACGACTGTAAGCAATTAAAAATATAATTAATATTGAAAAGTGAACATCATGAATTTATTCAATTATTTCATGTACTAACCAGGGCCAGACACTGCATATACATAGCCAAAGTTAGTCTCCTTGCTTTCCCTGCTAATTTTTGGCAACCCTTGACTCGTCATTGTGAATTGTTGTTGGATCAAAACTATTCAACAACTGAAAGTAATTTGCATTATGCAACACAAGCAAATTAGATGACATAAATATAAAAAAAAACATATAGTTTTTATAAATTATATATATATGAAATATTAAACACGAATAAAATAAACATTTAAACAGTTTAAAATTATTGCAAAAGATAATCCAAAGTGTATCAATTAATCGTATCTAAAGGTATTCTCGGGTAAGTAAGTCCAAACTAAGAATAAATTAAACCATCATTAAAGGGTAATGTAATTATTCCATTGGTACATGGCTCAATACAAAGTCAGTATTATTAATCGATCTCACAAAAATATATTAGTTTCGGTAACATTCCAATTTAAGAAACTATAATGGGAGTTCATGATATTTGATCAATTTTACATCACTTTAATCTGACGTCTAATCGAAACTAATCAAATACCTTGAAACGTGGAAAAATATAAGGAAACACTGATAAAAAAGACGACGATCGTGGACAGTTTATTCGAGTTAAGTATTTGAACGAGTACCGTGAGGTAAAATGTGTTTAAAATCGACGAGATACTTGGTGTCAGCTAAGCGCATCCATTCATCGTTAAATTCACGTGAGCAGTTCATTTAAAAAGTAGGCGTAGCCCTCTTTAAGCCCGCGAGACCTCTGCTGTCCTAACAGAACGTCGATTCCGAACGATATATTTGTCCATCGATCGTCCACGCGGAAACATTTAATTCGCTGATTGCAAGGTTCCCTTAAAAATGCGATATATATGATTTAGGGCCAAGTGAAATGTATAAATTCTACCGCTGATCGAGAAACGATGGCGCATTCAAACTGGAACGATCGATACTTGTACGCGCCAGTCTTTTTGTAGAAAATCTTTGGCACATTCTATACAGAATGAAATTGTTTCGATACTTTCTGCTGTATAGTAAATTAAGGTAAACGTACAGTGAATAAGATAAGTGACAATAAAGACTTACGAGACGTGCAATGTATCGAAGTAAGTCCACTCTACAACAGCAAGTCAAGCTTCGGAGACGAGCCTGGCTGCTATCCACTGCTATCACAAGACAGGTCAGCTGACTGAATGATGTGCTGGTTTACAATTATCAGACCCTCTCGTGTTACGGGCGAATTTACAAGTGTACGAAATCGTGACGAACTTCTCAAATTTTCCACCAGGAGGCAACGGTTCTTGTATATAATTTCTATGAAGATTTAAATATATTTGCATGTATGTATATACATATGTAGTAACATAGCATGCGTACACACGGACGTATACTATATATCGAACATGCATACATTGGATACTGCTGTATGTAGTTCGCTTAAAATAGCTGTATACATACGTATATTTTTAATATACGGATTATTGAACACATAATGTGGAATACTGTCATTTATTAAAATGAGAAGATTGTCTATTGACATTTCCATGGTATCGAAAGGATATCAAAGAAAAAACAGTAAATACTTTTTGTGAAATAACAGAAACGAAAACGTAATTTATTGTACAAATTTTGATTCAATTATTTCCATCAAAATTAAAAGTATAGCCTGTTTCATAGAATAAAATACGTTCTGCGTTAATATGTATGTACTTACTAAGTACAAGGAAGTCATATTTGGAGAAACAGACGCGGCAATTATAAATGATATATGTATACATCAGTCGTATTAAACGGAACTATCAAGAGCTGGTTAAAATTAGCAGAAACCAAGGCGCGGTTATACTTTACTGCTATAATTACAATAAACTATATAGGTTTTTCAGGATCCTTGTTAAATATATCTGCTTGCAAGCACAAATAAAAATAGATTTAGTACTATATCAGTAAAAAGTTCTTTTAACTCGAATTAGATCTTTTTTTATTAATTTTAATATTAAATAATATTATCATGCTTCTTCTTATACAAAATTTAATAAAATTTAATAAAATCATTTTAGCGAGTTTTCTTCCACAATATTTAAATCAAATGATTCTAATTTTATCCCGTGTGATTTCTTCGATAATTTCTAAACCAGCAATTTAAATCAATTTCTACGGTAATTATCATTAGAATTGAATCTATATTATTGTTTTCAAGACTTAGTTATCACAATTAACATGTTACCCTGACGTATTAAGAGTTTGTATATACAAAACTGCACGAAACTAAAAGCGCCATCTACGTTTTCACGAGGCTACATATGCGTGCGTGGATTTCAAGCACATTCGTGTATAGTTACGTAACTTCACTTCCGTGTATCCATGCGCGTTATCCACGGGTGGGGTCGGTGGGGTCCTTCGCACAGTTCAAATTGCCACCATTTCTTTGACAACGAAGTTAAAGTGGGGGAAGCTCGTTTTGCTAAAGCTAGAGAGTCGAGTTTTGATGTCCTCACTCTCAGACCTGCTTATGTATCATGTGGTATCAGACAAAACATTCAGTGACAAATGATTCGTGTACGAATGAACAGTATTCGTTTATAGAGCAATTAAGAGTGGTAAATTGTAACTCGGGCATTGTGCGCGTAGTTGAAACAACGTAGCAAAAGCTCGCGATTGCAGACATTTAATTGTGCATTCATTTTTATTATTCATCTCAGCGAAGGACAACAAATTATCCATTGTTCGACATGGACCTCCAGAATTTACAAGAATTCATGGAATTAATTGGACGACTGAAGGTGAGATGTCACGAGGCGGTACTGTGACAAATATAAACTCGGAGATTCAATAAAACGCGTGCAAACAGCATATAGCAGTGCTCATTTTTGGCACCCTTTATCAGTTGTCATTGGATTGATCTTGTTAATGTTGATTGATAACGTTATCGTGTCTACATCACACTTTAGTAATTAATTATTTCATGTATTTATAACATACAACAATGTCTAAAAAGTCTAAAGTTGAAAATATTCAAGAAAGTTGCATGAAATCTAGAAAGTATTTCCGCACTTTCAAAATGGAAGAACTTTTTCGAAATTGAATCAAACGATTTGAATTTTTGTTAAGTTGTCAGTGAAACTAGTGTCCAAACAAAAATTTTGAAAAATTGCAATTGTTCGGAGTAACAGAAAAAGTAAATGTAAGCTCATTTATTAATTTATAATGAAAGCGCTGTTCAATTTGATGTTGAACACGTCACTGTCAAAACAAAATGTTAAAATTATAAGACTTTTTAACATCACATTTAAAGATTTAATAATTGAGAAACTTAACGGTAGGGTACCTAAATATTTTATTACTTGTACGGTATATAAAAGTTTTCATGTAAATGTCTATGGCTTCAGCACATGAAGAGGACAGGATGGGTCATTAGAAATGTCTCAGATCCAGAGACAATCGCAGGGCACATGTATCGAATGGCCATGTTATCATTCCTAGTGGATAATAATGAACAGTTGGATAAAATCAAGTATGAAGTGATATGATTGTGTTATTTGCGACATTGGCCTATTGTTATGTTCTATTAATCTTATAAATTTTCTTTGTGTCTATAGAATCATGCAGATGGCTTTAATCCATGACTTAGCAGAGTGCATTGTAGGAGATATAACACCTCATTGTGGCGTTGATCCAGATGAAAAACATAGACGAGAAGATGAAGCTATGAAAACAATTTGTAATCTCTTGGGCGATAAGGGACCGATGATATTGGAAATGTTTAGAGTAAGATTTGTTGAAAGATTTAATTATTTTACTGTGATTTTTAAGGTTAACCTTGACATAAAGTATTATTATGTTGCTCAGTTTTAACATCTAGACAACAAATAAAGGAAAATAAAGGAAAAAAGTAAAAATTAGGTTGAAAGTTCAATACTTCCAAAGTTATAATTTGATTGAAATGTATGAATTACTCACTTTGGGAACTACGTATTATGAGATACATAAAAACTGCAGTTTATTTTAGTATTCCGTTTTTTTTTTTAATTCTTAGCTGTCTTACTTATTCCAGAAACAGTTTTTATTTTATGATGGAGTTCACTTATATTTCATAAAAAATTTTAATTTAAAGTCATAACTCTAAACAAAATTTCGTTGTTATTATTCTTATTGTCTATACATCTTTCTGTAACACCACTGTATTAACAAATGAACCACAGCTTATGCTAATGTAATTTGTGTTTATATAGGAATATGAAAAACAAGAAACACCTGAAGCAAAATACGTGAAGGATTTGGACAGACTAGATTTAATGATGCAGGCATATGAGTATGAGAAGAGGGATAATGTTCCCGGCATTTTGGAGGAGTTTTTTGTTGCGACCAATGGAAAAATTAGACATCCTTTCATCAACAAAATGGCATCTGAAATTAAGGAAAGAAGGGAAGCTCTATATCGCAATTCATCTAATCCAAAATGAATTGTGTAACAAATGATATAGTGACTTTAG